AGAGGGAGGGAAAGGCAAACACTCATACACTGGACTCACGCGCGAGCGGCTGCGAAGAGGACGGGAAGTGCTTCTTGTGGCGCATCTGTTGGTAGAGCTGTTGGTTCTGGAGTTGCGGCGGTTTCGGCAAAATGGGCGCAAAAGTGGAGCGCGGCTTCAGCTGCGGCTGCGATTGGATGAGAATCGGCGCCGAAGACACGAAAAGCGAAGGAATGAGTTGCGAGTCGTCTCCGGAGTCGCCGTTCGCGAGACAATTGCCGTTTTGCAGCTCTTTCTGCGTGTCTTCCGGTTTGAGACAATTCTAAGGAAACGGAAGTCAGAAAAACGGAACAAAAGAACAACAATGGCGGCACTCACAGGACACACGAAGACTCGCGGCTCCTCCAGAAAGACGCCGCCGGGAACGCAGTCCAAGTGATACAAACAGAAACATCGACTGCACATCAGATTCGGAAGCATTCCTCGGCGTCCGGGACAGTGCATAGAACAGGGGGCGCCACTCACGGCATCGCTTGCCTTCACTTCGGCTTCCGTCGGCTTTTCCCCCTTTTCCGCCGTTTTTCCCGCGCTTTCTGTCGGCGTCTCGTCCGTCGCCTTATCCGTCGTCTTGTCGCTCTCGTCCTCCACTTTCGGCGTCAAAGGCGTCTCCGTTTTCGCCTCCGTTTTGCTTCTCTGAGCGCCGATACTCTTTCGCGCCGAAACCGACGGAACGCTCTTTGCGTCGCTTTTCGCCTCCTTTTCCTCCTTTTCCTGCGTTTCCGGCGCCGCTGACGCGCTTTCGCCGCCATTAGGCATCAGCGCTGCCGCAGTGGCCGCCCTTTGCTGCGTCTCGAGCGCCGCCTTCTTCATAGTCTGTTCGTGCACTTGTTGCAGGAGTTGGTGTTGGAGTTGTCTTCGCTTTTCCTGAAGACTTAACTGCGGTTTCGGTCCCGAAGGCAGCGCTTTGTTCGCCGAAGCGCCGGAAGTCGGCTTCAAAGCCATTCCGCCCGCACTCCCACTCGCGCCGCCCTCCACCACGCCGTTCGGGCCTCCGGAGGGCCCTCTCTCGCGGTGGCCCTTCTTCTTGAGCGNTGCCTTCTTCATAGTCTGTTCGTGCACTTGTTGCAGGAGTTGGTGTTGGAGTTGTCTTCGCTTTTCCTGAAGACTTAACTGCGGTTTCGGTCCCGAAGGCAGCGCTTTGTTCGCCGAAGCGCCGGAAGTCGGCTTCAAAGCCATTCCGCCCGCACTCAAACTCGCGCCGCCCTCCACCACGCCGTTCGGGCCTCCGGAGGGCCCTCTCTCGCGGTGGCCCTTCTTCTTGAGCGGCGACTCGGAGTAGTCTTCGTCCTCAAAGCGCGTGGGCGCCACCCGCTTCCTCTTCGCTCTTCCCTCCGCAATAGACGTTGAGAACTGTTCTTCCGATTCACTGGCCGTCGAGTTTCGCGCCGAACGCTGTAATGGCGACGTCTGCGCACTAGGCGGCTGCGGCTCAGTGGGCGCCGCTTCCTGCGCGGCGGCGGGCGTGAAGGGGGCGGAGTCGATGATCTGCGAGGGGTGGAGCAAGTGTTGGCCTCCGCCCCTTTGCATCGCGTGGCGCACGATCTCTTGCGGCGGACGATAAATGGGTTGTCGCGCGAACGTGAAGTTCTCGGGCGCCAAACCACTCGAAGAGCGCTTCAAGAAGAGTCCCATTTCCACATAAGAGCGCAGTTTTGTCTTCTTGTCGGCCGAGAAGTAGTAGACGTCTCCGATCTTCTTCCCCGAAGACGTCACGGTTCCCCTCAACACCACTTCGCGCCTCCAGCCCAACTCGAAGGGCCGCCGAAAGGCCGCCAACTCGTCCGCTGTGAACGTCTTCACCTAAACAGCAAGAGTTGACGCAAAACACATCCAAAGACAGCGCAAGACACGAACCCGCAGTCCTGTGAACGCCGACCACTGGAACACTTCGTTTTCGCCCACTTTGCCGTCCGTCGCGTCCATCACGAGTTCGCCCGAAGATCCCTCGCTCTCGTCGGCCGCCATCGACGTCAAGGCGTCGCCCGTCGTCTCCTCGTCGTCGTCCACGTCGTCCTCCAACTCCTCCTCCAAGAAGTCCTGCACTCCGTTGGCGTCACTGCCGACCACCACCTCCTCCTCGACGGCCTCCTCGTCGTCGCCGTCGTCGTCGTTGTCGTCCTCCAAGTCGTCCAACTCGTCGTCCACTCCTTCCTCTTCGTCGCACTCCTCGTCGGCCGTCACCTCCTCCTCGACGGCCGCGAACTCGGTCTCCACGAGACAGCCGGCGATGTCGTCGTCGTCTTCGAGCACTTCCTGCGTCTCGAAGTCGACCTCAAGTTCGCATTCTTCGCTCATTGTCTCAATGAATGCCACAAACAATGCGTTAGAGAGCGAGCAGTGCTCACAAAGACTCTGCAAAAATGGCTGAAACTCTGATTCACTCTCTCAGCCAATCACTGCTCGCCTCAGACTCACAGCGGCTCGCACTCAGTGGCAGCCAATCATTGCTCAGCATTCAAACCAACGCTCAAACGCTAACAAATGGCGCCACCGCTGCGCCCGCCGCTCGCCCACTGGCCGCCCCCTCGCCTTTGCCTCCCCGACGCCCTCCACGCCCCTCACGGCCGCCACTGACCGCCAAAACCACTCAAAACCCCAACACATGTGCGCTTCTATTGTCATTGACTCGCGTCACGCCCTTTGCGAACAACCCCTCACTGTTTGCCGCAAATCAAGGCCGACTCCGACCGCCACTCGTCTCCCGTCCGTCCGCACAGACACTCTCCTCACGACTGACCGCATGTCACTGGAAACGAGTGGAGGCGGGGGTCGTGAAAGGCGCTCCACTCGCTCTCTCTTCCCCTCTAAAAGTCACGGCATTTGTGAAGAGTTTGTTTTGGAATTTTTCCAATCAATGACTTGAGTCTCACATAAATGACGACAAATAATGTTTGCGACAAAAGTTTGAATCAATTCTTGAGTTTTTAGAGAATTTCCGCAAAGAATTGAACGCAAAATGAGTTCCGCTTTTGCGGCAAATTCTGCGCAAAAATATCATGATTTTCGACCCAAAGAGACGACAAAAGGCGACAAAAAGTGGTCATTTCGTGACAAAAGTCATTACAAAGTGTAAACAAAACGTCTTCTTAGTTACGGACGAAACACAACACAAAAACTCCAATAAATTCTCGCAATAAATACAAAGAGATGTCAGAATCGGAGGAAAGTTGGGTTTTGGACTCTTTGGTGGGTTTCCTTCGCGGCCCCGTTTGGAACCTCACGATTCAGGCGTTCGTCGAAAACAAGTCCGTCGGTGAGTGTCTGTCCTCTGCCGCCCTCTCCCTCCCTCTCACCACAACCCCCTCTCCCGCAGTGTTCGACTCGGAATCGCCGGAAGAAGAGGTTCGCGAAGAATACCGTTTAGTGTTCGAGGACTACAAGAAACTCGTCGATCGCCTCCTGTCCTCTCATATGTCGGATTTGGGCATTTCTGGGCCGCAGTTCGACGACGCCTTACGTTCTGCGGACGGCCTCTTGGCGTCCAAACTGCGGCGCCTCCTATTCGAGCAAATCTGGGCGGCGAACGATTTCCGCGTTTTCGTCCGTTTTATGACTCAACGCAATATTGAACTCCAATTACAAGCGCTCGAAGTTTTGGTCCAAAAGTTCGGAAAAGTTTACGACTCTTTCGTTCCGTTCGGAGAAAACGGCGAATCCTTTCTCAACGAAGAGACGACCGTAAAAGAGGCCATTCGGCGGTCACTGGAGGCCGAGGGGGAAGAGGA